TTTTGCATGTGAATACTCAATTTCCCCAACATAATTTGTTGAAGAGACAATTCATTTCTTATTGTGTGACCTTGACATCGTTGTTGAAGATCATTTGATCATGTATTGAGGGTTGATTTCTGGGCTCTCATTTTGTTCTCTTGGTCCATATTTCTGCCTTAATGCCAGTACCACAGTTTTCATTACCGTAGCTTTGGAATATATTTTGAGATCAGAAAATATAAAGCCTCCAGCTTTGCTTTTCTTTCTCAAGAATTTTGTGGATGTTAAAGATCATTTGAGGTTCCTTAGCAGCTTTAGCATTTTTTTTTTCTATATCTGCAACATAATGCCATTGGTATAGCGATAGGTATTGCATTGAGCCTAGAGATTGTATTGGCTGGTATGGGCATTGTAACATGATTAATCCTTCTAATCCATCAACATGGATGCCTTTCCGTTTACTTGTGTCATGTTTAATGTCTCAACAACGCTTTGTAGTTTTTAGTGAACAAGACTTTCGCTTCCTTGGTTTAGATTATTTCTAGTTGTATTATTATTTTTGATGCTATTGTAAATGGGATTGTTTCTTTAATTTCCTATTTTGATTGTTAATTGTTAGTGAATAGAAACACAACTGATTTTTGTATGTTAATTATCTATTCCGCAACTTTCTTAAATTTATTAGTTCCAACATTTTTTGTGGAATCTTTAGGGTTTTCTACATGTTAATATCAGGTCATGTCATCTGCAAACAGATAATTTTATTTCTTCCTTTGAATTTGGATGAATTTTATTTCTTATTCTTGCCTAATTGCTCTGGGTAGGACTTCAGATACTGTGTTAAATAGAAGAGCCGAGAGTGGACATCCTTGCATTGTTCCTGATCTTAGAGGGAAAGATTTCAATTTTCCATCATTCAGTATAAGGTTAGCTGTGAGGTTTTTATATATGGGCTTTATTATGTTAAGGTAATTTCCTTCTATTCCTAGGTTATGAAGTTTATTTTAATTGTGAAAGGGTATTGAATTTTTTCAAATGCCCTTTTCTGCATCAATTGAGGGGATTATATGATCTTTTTTCTTCATTCTGTTAGTGTGATATATTACCTGGATAGATTTTTTTTTTTTATGTTGAATTGTCCTTGCATTTCAGAAATTGATCACACTTGCTTATGGTTTTTATGTATTGTTGAACTCAGTTTTTTAGTATTTCACTGAGGATTTTTTTGTTTTTATTTATTTATTATTGCAGGGTTTTGTGAGGGTACAAACATTATAGTTACATTTTAAGTCTTTGCCTCACCCAAATGAGGATTAAAGGCATGCCCTTCCCTCCCTTTAGTGCTCCCCGTGTCCTTTAGTTGTAGATTTGCCCCCCACCCCCCTAATCCCATGCATCAGATACATTGGTCTGTAGTTGTCTGATTTTGGTGTCAGTGTAATGCTGGCCTTGAGTTTGAAAGTGCTCCCTCTTCAATTATTTTGGAAGAATTTGAAAAGGATTAGTACTAATTATTCTTTAAATTTTTGGTAGCGTTCTCCAGTTGAGCCCTCTGGTCTTATTTTCTGTTTTTTTCCGGAGATATTTGATTTCTGATTCGATCCCCTTACTAGTTATGTATCTGTTTACACTTTCTACTTCTTTTTGATCAGTATTGGCCAATTGTATATTTCAAGAACCTTACCCATTTTTTTGTAGGTTATCCTATTTGTTGACATATAATTGTCCATATTAGGCTCTTATGATACCTTTTAATTTTGTGGCATCAGTTGTAATGTCTACTCTTTTATTTCTAATTTTTATTTGAGTGCTCTCTTTTTTTTCTTAGTCTTCCTAAGGTTTTGTCAATATCATTGTTTTTTAAATAAAATAACTCGGTTTAGATTCTCTATATTGTTTTTCTATTTTCAACCTCGTTTATTTCTGCTCTAATCTTTATTATTTCCTTCCTACTGCTAACTTTGGTTTAGCTTTTTTTTTTCTAGTTCGTGGAGGCTAAAAGTTAGTTTGCAATTTGAGGTCTTTCTTTTGTAATATAGTACTTTAAAATACAGATGCTTACTATTAAAAATTACCCTTTTAGTAATGCTTTTGCTGCATTCCATAAATTTTGGTATGCTATGTTTCATTTTCATTTGTCTCAAGATATTTTTTATTTTTTCCTATTTCTTTTAGTTTTATAGATTTAGGGAGTACGAGTGCAGTTTTGTTACATGGATGTATTGCATAGTGGTGAAGGCTGTGCTTTTAGTATGCCCATCACCCAAATAGTGTACATTGTGCACAATAGGTAATTTTTCATCCCTTACCTTCCTCCCCCATCCCACCTTTTGTGATGACATGCAGTATTTGATTTTCTGATGTTAATTACCTTAGGATAATGGCCTCCAGGTCCAAACATGTTGCTACCAAAAAA